ACTTTTTAAACTATATTGTCATTACTAATTTTTTTAATACAGTGACCGCTTCTCAGAATGGGGAACTCTAGGTATCTTCCTGTAGTGTCCATTTTTCCACCCAAATATTTGGAAAGGTTTTTTTGTAATAATCCTAAGTTCTGTTTTTTTAGATCCACAAGCAAAATCGGTGTGCTTTTAAAGACACTTTTATGCCCTGACTTCTAAGGAGATTTCAGTAGTAACATCTGTATGTATGAAACATCCACAGTGATTTCTGAGGGTGTGGCCAGGTCCTTTGTGAGAATATCAATTCAGACCAATGGCTCATTCTTGTGATTCCAGCTTCAGAAAGAATGTAATTCTTTTGTAATTCTTTTCTGTCTATACTGATGAGGAAGTATGTCAAGGAGAAGATGTTTGGACTTTTATTTTACATTGTTTAGTAATTACAAGGATGTTACAATCAAGTTTACTGCTTACAACTAAAAGTAGAGAACATTTAAAAAAGTGGAATTCATGAAGCAAAGATTAGAATGCATTCCTCTGAAAGTGCTGGGAACGGTAATTGGGAGACATTTTATTCTTTGAGTATACATTAAATCATAGTATCCTTGTTCTTTGTCACCCTTTTAGTTGAACTGGCAAGTATATGGTATCTTTCTTAGTCATTCATTACATTGTTTCCTGTTGGCTCCAAACCCAGTAAGAAATTCTTTCTTGACACCAAAGAGATCACTTCAATAATGTCATATGGGGATAAATATAAACTGCCCAGCAACAAGAATGTCAAGTAGAAAGTCAATGGTCATTGTTTAACACCTATAAAGAACAAAATGAAGTTACCAGTGAAATGCTATGAGGCAAATTTACAAACTTTATTTGAACAATGATTTGATTACATAAGGCCATACAAGGGAAACATGGTACATCAAGTTGTCAACTAACAGTTAGTAAATACAGTTAAACATGACTTCATATCAACAATGATCCTAGGTAACTGAAAGGCTATTCCCATTAATCCCAGAATTTGAGACCATTCCAAGTGCAAGTGATGATCTTTCACAAGGTGAACTCCAGTCTCCAAATCTTTAACTGCCACCTCCAGAGCTAAGTCCACTGCCAGCCAGGGCCTGGTCAGAAATTCCCAGTTTTTTATCCACTGCCGGACACCATCTTCACACAGAAGTCCAAGATGATGCTTTAAACACAGGCAATATGTAGTACCTCAACAGGGAATCTTATTTCCTTGGTTTGAATATTCCAAGCATGAGAAATTATTAGTTTGACTTATAACCATGAACGAAAAGCAACAGAAGTCTAGACCTTCTCCAAGTACTGGGTCATCAGTACCTACAAATCTTCCAAGAGAGAAACCAAAGCATATAGCTTGAAGGCTCGTGTCTCAAATTTTCATCTTTTTTTTTGGGGGGGGGTGAACACTTATTTACAGAGCATCCAGAAATGTGTAGTGTATTAACATCTTTAAAAAAACAGATACTGAATACAGGGTTATTTACAAGTTTTATGATGGAAAGTAAACTGCAATCAGGATTTCAGATAATCAAAGAACATCTTTTTTCTAGAAATGTCAGTAATAATAAGTCTACCATAGTTATAAGCAGAAAAACTAAAATCTTAAATATATTTTTAAAAGAGAAACTTTTTAAGACTGTAATTATCCTTGGGGAAATGGGATAATTTTTTTCCTTAGAAAGCTGATCTGAAAAAACAAACACATGATTATGTCTTCATTTAAGTACATGCTTCAAACTAGATTTTCAAAATGTGAATTAGGGTTTCCAGAGCTTTAGAAGTCCATCTTCACTGTAGGTAACAATCAAATTCTGATGAGGATGATGTGCAATACCAATCACATCCTTCTCGTGAACTGTCAAAGTTCTCTCCAGTTTGCCAGTGACTGTGTTAAAGCAGTAGAGCACAAAGTCTTCCCCCACACAATAGATCCATTCACCACGAGGGGAGAGAGCACAGCAAACAAAGTCACCACCTTCTCTCTTACAAGAGCTGAAGCTTCTGACAATCTGGCCTTGCATGTTCATGATGACCACTGTGTTTTATCGGTTGCACACCACAAAGTGTTCTGGGTTTTTAGGAAGCAGGATCACACTGTTGACAGTCAAGTCTGTCCCCACAGTGCTGCCCAAGGATTTCAAGGTATTTGAGCATTCTGTTGTCTTCATATTCCAGATCTTTACAGTGCCATCAGAGGAAGCACTGATAATATAA